AAAAAAAAAAAAAATACAATTCCTCAAAAGTCAAACACAGAACTACCATATGAGCCAGCGATTCCACTCCCAGGTATATATGTCCAAGAGAACCGAAAACACATGTCCACATAAAAACTCGTATAGGAATGATTATAGCAGCATTATTCGCAATAGCCAAGAAGCAGAAACAAGTATTGATAAATTGATCAATGAATGAATAAAACGTGGTAAATCCATACAGTGCAATAGTATTAAGCCACAGAAGAGAATGAAGTACTGACATACGCTATAACGTGAACCACCTTGAAAACATCATGCCAAGTCAAAGAAGCCTGACACAAAAGGCCATATGTTATGCGACCCCATTTATGTGAAATGCCCAGAACAGGCAAATGCGTAGAGACAGCACGTAGACCGGCATCGCCAGAGGCTAGGAGGAAGGGATAATCAGGAGTGACTGCTTAATGGATATGGGGGTGTTTTTCTGGTGGGGGGAGATGGAAATGTTCTGGAATTAGATAGTGGTGATAGTAGTACAACTCTGTGAATATACTAAAACCCAAAAAATTGTACGCTTTAAAGTGGCAAATGGTATGGTATGTGAATTATACCTCAATTTAAAAAAAGATGTCTTAGGAGGACTACAGTATAGTCCAGTAGAAGTAAAGCACAGGGTTTGTTTAGGATAGTGGAGAAAGACTTATCTACTTATACCACAGCTACAGACACATGGACACCAAAGAGGGAAGCTACAGATACCTAAGACACCATACAATCCCACGAAATGGGTTAAAGGAGGTAAGAAAGATGAGGCACGTCCAGAGTCAGACGGGAGCCAGGAGTGAGGCCAGGCCGTGAGGTGTGTGACTGGTCCATCATTTACACTTAGGGGCACAAGTTGGATCTGTGTTTCCCAGTGGCCAAATCAAAGAGGGAAACTGTTCAGTTACAGGACTCATCAAGTCCATTAAACAACAGTAAACTAGTCATAAGGAGCCCTACTATTTTTGTTAAAATGACTTACTTCATACACAGCATACTGGATGATACAGTGAGTAGCATCTGCAACAGTGTCCTTATAATCAACCAGCAACAAGGTTCATGGCCGTATTCCAATACAGATAGGTGGAATCATACTAATATTACAGTAGGGTAAAGGCAATTCTTAGGGGGGAAGGAAGGGAGCAGGGAGGCATGTTTGCCATGAGGCAGGCTTAATGTCAGATTCTGTAGTATCTAGTGTGGGAATAAAAAGTTCCTACACTTCAAACTCAAGAAAGAAAAGACCGATTATTTTTGGCTATAACAAGTAACTTCCAGAACAGGCTGTAAACTCATTCCAATGCATAAATGACAACTTTGCCTGAGCAACTATGCTGAGGAAAGCCAGCCACTCAGTGACAGCCCCACACTTCCTTAAGGCAGGAGCTTTTTATCTCACGTGTAGACACTGGCATTATTCTAACTTTTGCTT